TTTTCATAGTCAGATTCGTGAGGATCGAAAAGCGCTTTACACCCTCAAGAGTTACATTTCAGTTTTCAGAAATCAAGGATCAGTAATCAACCATCCTTTTACAATCAAAAAGATTTCAATTCAAAAAGTGAGTTGAATTTCTATTTCGATTAACAGTTGGGAGGAAGGATCTACCTGTGGCACATTCGACTTCCTATGAACACACTTAGTGGCGGTCCGCTAAGGGAAACTGAAATCGGGTTATATTCTCAATCGAGACGAGAAAATCCGAGTATGTTTTTTTTTCTAGATTTTTAAAGCATTGAATTAATAAGCAATTGACGCTATTAACTAACAAAGAGATTAGATCTGAAAATTGATTTTAGATTCTCGATTCATTTGAGTGAAAAATAAGTTACAGGGGTTGGGCCCTGTAAACTGTAACCGGTATGAGCCCGAAGGTAAAATCATATTCAAGAATCAATTAAAATCGAGGCAAAAGTGTTAGCCCAAGGTTGATTTTTACCAAATGAAATTTATTTTCTTAATTTACTATTTTATTTTGTTTCAATCATTTTTATTACTTCACTTCATCTCTCCAAAATCTCCCCTCTAATTTCTTTTACAAATCACACCCGAAGCAAGATCAAAAACGAGAAAATCATCAAACTCCTAGTCTATGTGGATCGACTCTTACTTTCACTATTCTACTTATTCTTAGTTATTTTATTGAGATTAAGGTTATTTATTTTGACATAATAACGACGCATGTCAATAAGTCCTTATGGATGAATGTTCTGGGGATTTACATTTGGTGTACGGTTGGAGAATAACTTTGTGTTTTAAATAAAACCCAATCTCTTATTTCTATTTTCTGATATATAATATATCTGGCTCCCGATCTCTGATATTACTGGTTATTGTTAAACAAATTTATAGTGGGGTATTGATTGGGTAGAATTCTGGAGTCTCTGAGGTTCAGCTAGCTGGTAATTCCTTTCTATTAAGATCATTCACAATGGACTCCTAGATCCTATAGGTCTAGGGTAAGTTCTTATGGATGTTTGTTCTGGGGAATTTCATATGAAGTGTTCAGGTGGAGGATATTACAGTGATTGTAGAATATGTTTTACTGAAATAAACTAGTAATGTTTTTAAACTATATGTATATTATTTATGTTTTATGAGAACACACTAAACATTCATTTTTATTCTCATGAATATGTTCCTCTGACTATGAGCCTCATGTTTGTTACCTGAAGAAATATCAGTGGAACCTCAACTCATCACGAAAACACATAGATGCATGAATCAATAAGGAAATTTTATGCTTGCCATTTATCTGCATGTCCTTCAGCATCATCTGGTAGTTCTGTATTTTTGAGCTTCCCAAAGCTCACTTTTTTACTCACCATTTCAGGTTTAAAAAAAATGATCCACTGCAGCTATCGACAACAGTAATGGGAGTTTCTTCGACGTTGCTTACAGAGTACGATACATGTATAATTAGGAGCCTTGTGGGTCACAATTTGCTTTCATATCAAAGTATGAAACTTGTTTTGATGTTGTATACTATTGAATTCAATTCTAACATTTGAATGATTTTAGAAATTGTATTTTTATTTATAAATTGTTTTACAGTTTGAAATGGTTTAACGAAAATTTTAGTTTAATATATTTTTATTGTGTGTCACTCCGGTGACCCTAATGTGACACCTCAGATTGGATTAGGTCACTTGTATCAGTCTGAGGGGTTACATCTATCTTTCTTCAACATTTCTTCATCATGAGCTCTAAGTTGAGCAAGAGTGGGATTTGGTCTCAATTCTGGTGGATCTTCATCAGTTTCTACAACTCTCCACAACCAAATAGACTTTCATCTTCACCGCCCAAACATGATAATGAGTTCCTGTGTAAACTGGAACATGAGTTGAGGGAGTATTCGAAGAAACCCTTTTTAAAGCACTCACAAAAACTCAAACTCTCAAAGTGTTTTTAATCACTCACTAACAACAATGGAACCTCACAACCCTTAAAAAAAACAGAACACGTAAAAAATTGCAGTAAAAGCTAATTGAAAATAAAGAAAAACAAAATAAAAAATTTTGCAAAATTATTACAAAAGAAAGAAATCCAAAGTTCTAAACAAATTGTAAACTCCAAAAAAAAAAACAAAGAGCAATCGAGCAAGCAAGACTCACCATTCACCGAGGTAAAGACCAAACCGGGAAGGGAACAAGCCTAGAAGAAGTTGAGTAGACCACGAACAAAGCTTTGTCTTTCATTTGACAAGGTAAGAAATCCCTAGATCTAAGTTCCGAAGAATTAGAAAAAAATCATAACGCAAAAAAGAAGAAAAAACAGTAAGACGATAAGATATAAATATAAGAAAAAAATAGAAATAGTAGATGTAGATCAAATAGAAAATGCAAACAGAGAAAAGAAAGGAATAAGAAAAGTGGAAGAAGGAAGATGGGGTTGAAGAGAAGACTGCCCCAAACCCAAATCATGTTAGATTTTTTTGAGTAAACCAAAAAAATTAATATAAAAAACTAAAATATGTCATATGTGTCAACAAAAGGGAGAATTAGAGCTTTTTAATTTTTTTAAATAATTTCTAGGATATATTTTTAAGGAATATGTTAATTTGTTATCCTCCCACCTTTAAAAATTTATAATTTAATCCTTATTTTAAAATGTAAACTTTAGTTTTTATTTAATTTAATCATAATTGGTGAAACTATTACTACCCCATTTCGAAAGTATGTGTTGTGTTTCTTGCTTATAGTGTTGATATATATTATTATATATGCCATTTTTCGTTTAGAAAGCATTCTAAAAGTCATTAAAAATGACTCATTAACATTATAACTATAATTATTATGTTTTAAAATAAATTGTGTGAAATTTAAAAAAATTCACAACCACGACACCTGCAGTGACCGCGATGGCATCCGTTATGTCTGTAACCGCGTGAACGCGACGCGACCGAAAACGCGATCACGAACGCTATTTAAATCCCTGCCAATGACTAAGCAGTTAGAGATCTTATGGCTAGCCATATCTTACTATCTGAACTGAATCTTTAGTGGTATCAGTTCTGGAATTAGATGGCATGGTAGATCCATCATATTGATTGCTTCTTTCAGTAGCAGACACTACGTTCCCTAAGTTTCTGCCTTGCTCATTGGTGCTAGATTGATCTTGAAGTTCCTCAGGTTCAATTCGTGATAATAATTCAGCTATGTATTTGTCGTAACCGATTTCCGGTGATACGATGAGTCCCGACTTATTTTGTGAAAACCCGATTTTGTAAAAGAAATGTTTCGGAGTCGCCATCGACCTTTTGAGTTAGGTAGGTCGAATACCCAAAAAATTTCTTTTAAAAGAGTTTTTTTTAAGAAAAATGTCATTTTAAAAGATTTACCGATCTACGTGTAACCAGAAATTTATTTTTAGTAATAAGAAGGGTTCGGGGGTCGGTTACGTGTGGGGAAGGATGAGCACCCCACAACGCTGAAAATTGGTACCTATCGATTATATATTGTCTCAAATTAGTAGAAATCTAAGAATTCGAATACATATTTAAATCACGATTCCATTATTCCGAATTCAACCATACAATATTATAGAACAAAAATTCTAAAGAAAAATAAAAAATATTCTCATATTTCCAATTGAATAGAAAATACTCCCTGAAATAATTTATGACGAATATGCCTCTTTCTAACTGAAATAAAAGGAATGTAATAATTTTTCCTAAGAATTTAATATTAAAATAATTTTTATATAATATTATAATATATAATAATACAAGCAAAATAAATCCTAAAAAATAAAAAACATACTTTAATGGTACAAATAGACAATATACATATGAATCTATTCATTACATGGTGACAAAATAATTATAAAGTAACATGGATATTATAAACATTAATAAAACGAATATTATAGCATGAAACAAGAAAACATCACAATAGAAACACCATAATCGTAATAAAAACATAAATATGGGACTAAAATGGAATAACATAAATATCAGTAACCAAATTCGAACAAAACTAATACATTCAATCAGAGGATTAAATTAAAATAATGTAAAAACATGCATTCAATTCGCAAATCATTGAAAATAAACGGAAATGGGGACCAAAACGCAAACTACGCTAAACTTGAAGGGACCTAATGCACGGTTAACCCTAAAAGTTACTGAAACACAAATCACCTTAAACATAAAGGACCAAAAGAGGATTTAACCTAAAACTAGTGACCAGAATGCTAAACACGCTAAAGTTATAGGGATCTTAACGTGATTTACCCAAACATCCTAATATATCAACACTCCCCCTTTTCTAAAATCACTTCGCACGACACTCACCCTAACTCACCTCCTTTTCTTCTTCTCTCAACCATGGCGGGAGCCCCCTTCCCCTAAGAATAGACGCTCCGGCCACCACATAATGGTGGCCGTTTCCCCGATTAACTAGCTTTGACGCAATGACGACCCCTCGACAGCAGACCCAACGGAAATCGAGCCTAATCCTCTCATCTCGAAAGGTCCAAACCATGAAGCAGGCCACCATACAAGGTGGCGCTGCAACCTAAACCTAACTAAACCGACTCAAGCCACCTCCCCGGCGACTTATCCCTCGTCCCCAACTCCGATGAAACCATTCATTTTCTCAGGTAAATTCAAAACTCTTCCCCATTTATTATTTTTTTTGTCATTCTGCTGGTTAGCTGGTTGATTAGAATCGCAATAAACATTTATTTATTTTTATATTTATTATTTCGAATATAAACATTATGCTCAAAAAAAAGTTACATTCGAAATGCTAGATCTGGGCTTTTAGACAAAAATTATCACAATAAAAAAAACTGTATGTAGTATGCTCTATATTCGAACCAAAAGAAAATATCATAACTACTGGATTTGAAGTGAACAGATCAGAGGAAAAAAATGCATTCGAATAACGATAAAAATAACTAAAAAACAGTAAGTAATTGCTACCCTTTGAAGTCTGTTCTTGCTTGAAAATATGGTTTACAGTGTATTCTTTTCCATGATTTTTTTACAGACTGCTTGCTTGGGTTAAATACCCAGTTACAACTGAATAATAAAAAAAACTCTCTACTTTCTTGTGTTCTGTCTTTGCAGGTGAGTGGGGCGTTGGTGGTCGTGTTGGAGCATATGGGCGTGGAGCTTGCTTGGAATTTGTGGAGGCATGGGCGACTGGATGGGCTTTTGAAATAAAATAATAATAATAATAAAAACGTGCAAGAGACGTAGCATTGTGGTGAAATGTTGGTGTGTAACAACAAAGTATGGGCAAAAATAAAGTGTTTCACGTGGGACATGAGAGAGGGTCTAGTGGAGCATTAGAATGGGTTTTAATTAAAATATGGTGCTCATAGTATTGTATCCCATTGTGGAAAAATTCATTAAAATCTGATCCTTCCTGAATCATAGAAAGAGAACGAAGAAAGAAAGAAAATGGGTAAATTGCACCATTCATCACCACATAATGTTGATTGAAAATTTCTCACAAGACTTACTGTTGGAATGGAATCCACTGGAACGTGATTTTCAAAAGCCAATCTAGAGCCCTCTTCAGGAAATGAAGTATTATGTTGATTGTCATCTCCATTTTCTTCAGCAAATAAAGCATTCTGTTGATTGTCATCTCCATTTTCTTCAGGAAATAAAGTATTATGTTGATTGTCATCTCCATTTTCTTCAGCAAATAAAGCATTCTGTTGATTGTCATCTCCATTTTCTTCAGCAAATAATGTATTCTGTTGATTGTCATCTTCATTTGAGTTGGTTGGATCATTAGCATAGACAACTGAACTCCGTGATGAATTATCATGATCACTGATCCCAACTTGATTCATAGCCGGAACACAGTCATTAGGTGCCTTTAGCTTCTGGTTTATCATGAATCATAAACCAAATTGGTTTTAGATACATCTTTTGTGAAATTGTTTTTATTAGAAAAACAATAAAGAAATCGCCTATCTTACTTTTTGAATATCAGTATTGACATTATAAATTTGAGAGTCGGAATATACCATGGAGTCTTCTTTCTCATAAGGAAAGGTTGGTTGATTGCTGTAGAACTCATCATTCTTAATAAGTGTATCCACAAATTCATCTAAAGTCTGTTCATTGTTGACTAATTCAGATTGAATTCCACTGTTTTCAGTGAATGAAACTGGCCCTGTTAATGGCTCTCTCGAGTTTAACTGGCCCTGAATCAAAGAGAAATAGGTCATAACCTTTTGATATTGTTCATCATCATTAACGTAAAGGAAGATAATATAAAGAAGTTTGGTATTTTGATTTAGCCATCTAACCTCTGGGATTGCACTGTTTGTACAGTGGCTTTCTAAGTTAGAAGGCAAACACAGATTTGATTGCCCTTCTTCACCTCTTGAAACATCTACCTTCCTCGCTTTTTTCTTCAATTTACAAAGAGTTAAACTTTTCTACAAAAAAAATAAAAGAAAAAGAAAATTTATCATACTAACAGATCCAGGGAAATAAAAAACAATACATGCCTTTTAATTTAAGAAAAAAAATCCCATGGAAACCAAGGAATATAGAACATACTTGGTTTGGAAGATTAAGAGTGAGCTCAAGCTCAAGCATAAGCCATGGGGTCTTATTTTCTTTTTTGTTTTTATCACCAACCCGACCTTTGTAGAAAACCATGGTCTGTTTGGTTCCAGAAATCTTTTTTCCGTCGAATGTTGTCACTATTTCACGGGGTTTTCCCGTTGGATTCCAGTAACCTTTCTTGGTTACTCTGTTTTTTCGTTTACTATTACGGTACTTGTATCTTGGTGTGCAAAAGAAATACCAGACTGCAAAAAAGAAAAAGAAACAACTTACAAAGTGGGCATCCCAAAAACTAGGACATGCAACAAGTAGCTTTACCAGGCAATTCTTGAGGTTCGAATTTGCAGATGTCTTCTAATTGGGTTATGAGTGGAACGCGTGAATCACAAACTTGGGCAAACGAATCACGGTCGAGTACCTGTTTTTCCCATAGATGTTCCATGGCTTCTTCATCTGTTGGGTGGAATCTAAATCCCTTAACATGCTTCATGTTCATCCAAAGTAGCTCAGCTGGAATGAAGCAACAAGATAAAAGAAAATTGAAAGCCAAAGTTTGATATTTTGTGAAGACACTCTGCCCCCACTGCTTGAACTGCACATAACTTGGTGTTTCATGCTAGGTTAAATTGGGTGACCAATTACTCAAAAGATAAATAAATGAAATAATCAAATTGCAACCAACGAGAATATTAGAATAGCTTGCTTTACAAGTTTTTTGCTTGTGGAAAAAGGCAGCATCCTTGAGTTCCTGACCCCACTTAAACCGCGTCAATCTTTTGATCAGTTATAAAGAGAGAAAAAGAGAGCCCAATGAATGGGAATGTCTCAGGAAATGCGGGTTAATATACGGTTAATATACATCATTACCGGATACATTAAAATGTATTTAATAAATTCGGTTTAGCGGTACCTATTATGTTGACAACTAATAATGTTTTAGGTAGAAAATATGAAAAACTATTAAAAAATTTGGTAACCGGTAAACTTTGGTTATCGGTAAGTATCTATCCTTTTTATAAAAGTGTCCATACTTTTAACATATCAAGTAAATTTTACCGGTTTTGTCATAATGAATCTGGTTTTGTCATATTTTTACCTGTTATATTGTAAATTATCTATCCTTTTTATAAAAGTGTCCATACTTATTTCACTGTGAAAATATATTTATTATTATCTTTAGTTAATATTGTTAAATTTAAAATCTAAATAATATTTTATAAAATATCAAAACAATCAAATAATTTTTTGTGTAAATGAAATTATTAAATTAATATTGTAGGTGGAAAACATGAAACACTATTAAATAAATTGAAACATAAATTACATAACTTTCAAAAAAGTATATATCATTTTTATAAAAGTGTCCATACTTATTTCACTGTTGAAAACATATTTATTATTATATTTGGTTAATATTGTTAAATTTAAATTCTAAATAATATTTTATAAAATATCAAAACAATCAAATAAAATTTTGTGTAAATTAAATTATTAAATTAATATTGTAGGTGGAAAACATGAAACACTATTAAATAAATTGAAACATAAATTACATAACTTTAAAAGCAGTTTAAATCCTAAAAAGTGTCGATACTTTTAAAAAATATATCGATCCAAAACGATATACCAGGTAAAAATATGATAAAACCGGTAACAAAATGATAAAACCGGTAAATTTAAAAGTGTCGATACGTTATATAAGGATCGACACTTTGTGAATTTAAAAGAGAAGCAGTTATAGCACCTATAATGTGTCGATACTTTAAAAAAATATATCGATCCACAACGATATAACAGGTAAAAATATGATAAAACCGGTATCAAAATGATAAAACCGGTAAAATGATACCGGATATATTGAAAGTGTCGATACTTTCGTAAGTACGTGTAATAAATTATCGACGCTTTCAAAGAAATAGGTAATTATCCTTTCGAAAGTATCGACACCTGACATAAAAGTATCGACACTTTTGTATTTGTATCGATTAAATATAAATAACATATCCGATGAAAATATAAAGGCCATAGCTAAATATCCTCTGAAAAAAGATAGAACGGACGAGTTTTTGAAATCGAAGAGTAATTGTTGCTGCATTTCAGAAGGCGTTTCTAAAGCGAAGTTTGTTTGTTTGTTGCTGCAGTCGAATCGAAAAGTATGTTGTCGAAACCCTAATTTTTTATTATTACAGTAATCGCGATAGGGTTTTTTATGTGTTGTTTGGGGTTTTGGAGTAAGGAAGCATTTGGGACCGATTGCAGGTAGAAATAGATATTCAAGGAAAAATATAAATGTCGATACTTTTATTAAATATTATAGGTAGAAAATGATATTATAGGTTGTATAAATGTGCCGACACATTTTGGTGTGGCCATTCAAATTCTTTTGAAGAAAACCGTTTTACCACAAGAGTAGTTATCTATCTTTGTATATTGAATAAAGTGTATGTAACGAAATAATTTGATTTGCGTAAACTGATATATGAAGGAAAAATGGAGTCAATGGGTTGAAAAATTGTTGGTGGAGCAGATGACTTTGAAATTGAGGCCGAGACTCGAAAGCAACCAAAGGGTGGATATATGTACTTCTAGTAAGTATCAATGTCCTTTTGTTATTATTGTTGAAATGGTAATTGGATTAAAGTATCGATAAACTTTAAATTGATTACAAATTTTAAATGTTAACAGTATGGCCGAATGCAAAAGGATGAAGGGAGATGGCACACAGAGCGGTTCGGTATGTAAAATGAAATTGACATTGAGTAGTATTAGTATTTAGTGTTAATGTATTGATTAAGAAACGTTTATGTTTAATATTAGGTGAAAAAAGATGTGAGGTCCAAATGGAATTCAATGAGTGATGCTGAAAAGGAACCTTACATCACACAGTCAAGGAATGATAGTAAAGAGTACAAAGAACGGAGGAAAGCACATGAAAATAAGGTATTCATTAAACTTGTAAATACGTTGATACAAAATATATAAGAACTATAACATTATATATTGTTAAAAAATGTAGGAAGTGTCGACAAGATGCAGCATTAAAAGGGTGAATTTATTAATTAAACACCTTAAGGAGAAGGATCAGTTGAATGTGCTGGGAGAAATAGGTTTTGGATCGTTGATCGGAGTAAGGGATCGACCTATTCGGAGGGAATTGTGTCGATCCTTGATGGCACAATTTGACGTAAGTTAATGTATGGCTAAGTATGGTGATTATTCATTCCCTCTGGGGGTATCGACTGCTGCAGCCGTATTGGGGGTACAAAACAAAGGCAAAAGTGTTATAGAAGTCTGTAGGAGTAAGAACTGGAAAGCACTTGCCTCCAAATATGGTTTGAATCATAAGGTGACATATGCTGAAGTTGAAGAGGATATCAAAAGTGGATCTTACTGGGGGGATGAGCTGAAGGCCCGAGTTCTATTGTACCTTGTCGGGATATTTCTTTGTCCAACGGGTGATACGTCAACGAACAAGGAATATATGAAGCTCATTTGCGATGAAGGCTTGAAGGGTGAATTCAATTGGGCTGAATATATCCATTCGAGATTGATTGAATCAATAATCACCTTTAAAAAGGGCAGCCAGAGATACCTCAAAGGGTGCATAGCAATCTTAGAGGTAAATGAGTTGAATCACTTTTTTGTGTTTTTATATAAAAATATAAATTTTATTATAAATGCAGGTTGCACTGTTCGATTTTTGGTCGGGCTGTGAGGCAGTGCCGGCTTATGAAAGAACCGGAGTGGCACGCATCCGTGCATGGGGGAAGGAAGAGGTGGTTAGAGTGATGGTGAAGTTGAAGTTGGATAGAGGGAAGAAGCAAGAAATGGTAATAAATGTAATTAAATAATATTAAGAATATAATCAATGTCTTAATATTGTAATTTAATTTTGAAGGTTATTGGCAAGGATGTAGAGGAGGCAGAGAAGAAGAAAGGAGGGATGGTTGTATTGGGGGATGACGGTGAGTGGGACGACGGTGAAGCAAAACAGAGTAACTTCGACATTTTGATGTCTGAATTGGCTGATATCAAAAAAATCCAATTTGAAATCATGCAAAGACAATCAAGAGTCGAAGAGAAACTTGATCAAGTCGTAGATAAACTCGAGAGAGTCGAAGATACACTCGAGAGGCATAAGGGGGTAGTGGAAGGAAAAATAGATGGAGTGGTGAAAGAAGTAGAGGTGTTGAGGGGTGAAGTGGTGAAAGAAGTTGGGGTGTTAAGGGGTGATATTAAGATGGTGACGGGAGAAAAATTTGAGGGAGTGGTGAAGGAGGTTGTGGATTTGAGGAGTGAACTTACGGGGGTGAAGGGGGTGGTTGATAAATACTCGGATGAAGGAGCTCAATTGAAGGGTGAAATAAATAGATGAAGAGCTATGTAGAAAAAAGTACGATGAACTGAAAAATATGAAGAAGAAAAGAGGGAGGAGGAAGAAGAAGAGATGAAAGAAATGAGGAGGAAGGAAGTCGATGTCATTTATACACCGGAGAGTGTTATAGCAGCAGTTTTAGATTCGGAATGTCCTGCACCCCAGAAGAAGAAGCAGAAGGTAAGTTTAATAAAAGAATACTTAATTTGATTTTTATTATGTTGTTGTGACAAAAATTTGTATGCAAAATTGTAGGTTGAAAAAGCGGATATTCCAAGCGGAATTGATGACATCGAAGCTGCAATTTGTGATTATTTATGGAATAGCGAGTTAGAATCGGGGTAAGTGAAATATATTGTTTTGTGAGTGATATTTAAATATTTCATGACAACATATTAATCCTAATGATTCATACAGATATTCTGTAATCTCAATGGGAAATCAATTCGCTACTGTATACGACGTTTCAACGTTGAAGCCTACGGAATGGGTTGGCGGTGTGGTAAGTAGAAAGTAGAAAATGTTAAAACTTATTGAATATGTTCTGATTGTGTAATTAATTTTGTTAGGTTATCGATTTGCTCGCTTGGACCATATGCTACGATTCTCAAAAGTCACTCCAGAGGATTGGCTACCTTCCATACCTCTTAGTGGTGAGTTAAATTAATAAATATTGAAAAGTAGTGTTATAGACGGTAAATTAATAATGTTTGTTGCGTAATTACAGCAACAGGCGTTGGAAGCCAACAACAAAGAAAGTGTTGAGAGTATTTCTACCTTCTGGGGTGTCATATTAGATAACTATGTGAAATTCACCGACTGTGAGAAGGTAAGACACCATACCAATTGCAAATGATGTTTTCAGATATAGAGTGTTGAATTTTGTCAAATTGGGTGTGAAATTTGTTGCAGATCATGATCACAATAAACTACCATAATTCACATTGGTATCTGTTGGTGTTGGATATGGTAGATCATGTTGTAACAATATATGATAGTATGTTTACAACTGAAGCAGCTAAACAGAGAGTGAAGGATGCTAAGAGATTGGTATGTATGTTAGTTTGTTATGAAAGGACGTTATGTAAATTATAATGCATAATTTTTTTGGTGCATAACTTCTTCTATTTTAATGTAGATTAAAATATTAGATTCTTATAATAAGAAACGCATTTGGGTTGAGTCCTGTGGATCTCTAGGAAAGTATCCCTTGAAAAATTTCAAAT